AGTTCTACTCTGTCCTGTAGGGTTGCTATGAGTCCGAATCGACTGGACGGCAATGGGTTAACTTTTGTCACTGGCGGCAACAGAGCTAAGGCTTCTATCTCCTGCTACCCAAAATCAAACCCACTGCCGTTGAGTTGATTCTGACTCATAGCGACACTATAGGGCAAAGCAGAACTGCCCCATAGGGTTTCCAAGGCTGTAAATCTTTACGGAAACAGATTTTCTCCCGCGGAGCCGATGGTGGGTTCCAACCGCCGACCGAGCGCTTTCACCACTGCGCCACCCGGCCTCCTTATCTCCTGCTAGCTCACTTCGAATCCTTTCCAGAAAGCGGTGAAATAAAATCAACGATCACCAACTCCCGCCTCGCGCACAGAGAGAGATCCCATCTCCAGATTTCGATGTCCTTCAGCGTCTAACTCCCTCGATCCTGGGAACACAGGCTTCAGCCGACAGCGCGAATTATGTCCCGGGGCGTCAAGCCTCCGCGTGGCGGCGCCCCAAACACCTCCTCAAAAGACCTCCAAAGAGACAGGATCAGATCTGTGGCTTTCACCCGTGTACACCCAGTTAGGAAAAATAAAACAAGCGGAGAATTTCACCAAAACTAAACCGCAGGGGACCTTTTTAATTTTAGCGAGAGCGGAAACGGAAGTCCTGGAAGGGTCATAGAGTTCTCTAATTCCGGCTTCGGCACTGCGTTCTGAGCTAGAGCGCCTCTCCTCCTCCCACCGTCTCTGAGGCTCCGGAAGCTTTTATTGCCGGGTACCTCTTCTGTCATAAAGCGGAGACCTCCCCTCAAGCCTGGCGTTGTGGGTCCTTTGCGCCTCGCCTAGGGTCACCCAGCAAGGACGGGCGCTGGTGGGGATACTTTACAGCCAACAACTAGACAGTCTTCGAGTACCGGTCACGTATTGGCACCTCTGATCCCTCAGAGACGACTGGCTTTTGAGCCCTCACTATTGAGGATACCCAATTCGCAGGCTCCGGGACGGCCGCTCGAGAGGACAGCGTTCATTCGCCCATACCTGTTTCCCACAGTTAGACTGCATTGTGAGGTGCAGCATTTAATAAGTCACCACCTCCCCACAGACTACTTCCATCCACGTCCACCCACGTCCGAGTTAACTTCGTTCTCCACCTTCTTGAGAGATCCCTCTCCACGCCTCCAGAAGAGGTCTTTTTTTCCCAGTTAAATCTCATCCCCTTGGCCCGTAAAATTGAGTTCGGAGCTTCGGATATCCGGCAGAAAAATTACCTTTAAGACTGAGCACCCACTTGATCAAAAAAAGGTTCATGCTCATTACAGAGTCTGTGGGAAAAGTGAAGCCCAGTAAACACAGGAAACGATGGCTGAGCATGGGGCGCACATTACAACCGCTTCTGTGGTGGATGATCAACCATCCATCTTTGAAGTGGTAGCACAGGACAGTTTAATGACAGCAGTGAGACCCGCCCTTCAGCATGTGGTTAAGGTAAGGTGTTTATCCTCTGAAAGGTTTTAGGGACGACCGAGTAAAAACCAAACTAATAATTTGTTTAGTTGGTAGCCTAGTGTTTGAAATAGCCAATTAGCATATAATTTATGTCCATGATGTAACTGTTACTGAGTCTCTGTTCTGTACATAGACCTGTACTGAATCTCTAGCATTTCAGGGAGGTGTTAGGGTAGACCCCAAAAGAAGTGACTTGTTTAAGCCCAAAGTATGTAGAATTTAGAGAACAAAGGAAACGTAAATACAAGGTATGGTAGCTGAGTAACGGAATGAAATTTCGTTTATTGATTTTTTACTTTAGGTTCTTGCAGAATCAAATCCTGCCCACTATGGCTTCCTCTGGAGGTGGTTTGATGAAATCTTCACTCTGCTAGATCTTCTGCTTCAGCAGCATTACTTGTCTAAAACTAGTGCCTCATTTTCTGAAAACTTTTATGGCTTAAAGCGGATTGTAATGGGGGATACACGAAAGTTTCAGAGATTGGCCAGTGCGGGTCTTCCAAAGCAGCAGCTTTGGAAATCAATTATCTTCCTGGTTCTTTTTCCCTATCTGAAAGTGAAGCTGGAGAAGCTGGTTTCTAGCCTGAGAGAAGAGGATGAATATTCTATTCATCCCCCTTCTTCCCACTGGAAACGATTTTACCGAGCCTTCCTGGCAGCCTACCCATTTGTCAACATGGCCTGGGAAGGCTGGTTTCTTGTACAGCAACTTCGATACATCCTAGGAAAGGCTCAGCATCACTCACCACTGCTGAAGCTGGCTGGAGTTCGGTTAGGTCGACTGACAGTTCAGGATATACAAGCTCTGGAGCACAAACCAGTTGAAGCCAGCATGAAGCAACCACCAGCCAGGTGAGGCCTTAACATTTCAAAAATATTCTGATTTCCTAAATTTTAAAATCATATCCTAACTTCATGAAATTCACCTCCCTCAGTCCACTTTGAGGTATTTCATAAAATCATACAAAAAAAATCTTTCTTGCGTTCATAAAACATGGATTGCGGAACTCCATCAAGGTAACCATCCTCATCATTCTAGCTACTTTTTATTGCATACTTGCTACGTGCCAAGTCCTGCATTGTTTGCTTTACGTACATTATCTCAGCCCTCATTATAACCCAATGAACTAAACGCTTTAGCGCCATTTAGCAGCTGAGGATAACCCTAACAGGTAAGTACCTTGCCAAGGCCACATGTACAATGTGGCAGAGTTGAGGTTCAAGCCAGATTAGTAAAATTCTTAAGACAAATATTAGCCCAAGAGACAGAAAGGGCTACATAAACCAGAGACTCCATCAGCTTGAGACCAGAAGAACTAGATGGTGCCCAGCTACCACCAATGACCACCCTGACAGGGAACACAACAGAGAGTATCTGATGAAGCAGGAGAAAGGTGGGGTGCAGAACTCAAATTCTAGTAAAAAGACCAGACTTAATGGTTTAACAGAGGCTGGAGGGACCCTGGAAGACATGGCCCCCGGACTCTGTTAGCCCAAAACTAAAACCATTCCCAAGGCCAACTCTTCAAAGATTAGACTAGACTATGGGATATAAAATGATACTCGTGAAGAGTGTGCTTCTTAGCTCAAGTAGATACATGAGACTAAATGGGCAGCTCTTGTCCAGAGGTGAGATGAGAAGGCAGAGAGGGTCAGGAGCTGGTTGAATGGACACAGGAAATCCAGGGTAGGAAGGAGGAGTGTGCTGTCACAGTACAGGGAGAACAACTAAAGTCACATAACAATGGATGCATAAATTTTTGTATAAGAAACTAACTTGAATTGTAAACTCTCACTTAAACACAATAACAAAAAAAATTCTTAAGACAGTGCTCTTAACTATGATGCTATGCTACTTCTAGTTGGTGTTTACGTTCTCCTGCAAGTTCATATATATGTTCCTCGATACTGCCAAGTTTTAAGAGAGTTATTTCTTTTTCTGGATGTACTGCCTTCCAAAAAAAATGGTCTATGCAATCAGTGTTCTACCAATTTCTCAAAAAACAAAGCTCTAGTCCTTTGTTACTAAAAACAACTGTTGTTATTAAAAACAACAAACTGCTATACTCCTGAAATACTGTAAGTCAGAAAGAGGGAATAATTTAGAATAGATCCTTAAGGAGACGATGCCAATCTAGTAATTATTCAATCCCCAAATCAGTGATCCTGATGAATAAAAACTGTGTTTATATTAATCATTCTATGATTATAGCTAAATAGTTTCTCCCTTTACCACCTTTTTCTATTCTCCCAACAGTGTTAGTAAGAAGATAAAGTCAACTCTGAAGAAAGCTGTGGGAGGTGTTGCCTTATCCCTCTCTACTGGCCTTTCTGTAGGTGTATTCTTCCTGCAGTTCCTTGAATGGTGGTACTCATCTGAAAATCAAGAAACCATAAAATCACTGACTGCCCTGCCTACTCCACCACCACCTGTACACCTGGACTACAACTCTGATTCTCCCCTACTACCCAAAATGAAGACTGTGTGCCCGCTGTGTCGTAAAACCCGGGTGAATGATACTGTTCTTGCCACCTCTGGCTATGTGTTTTGTTATCGTTGTGTGTTTAATTATGTGAGGAGTAACCAAGCTTGTCCCATTACAGGGTATCCCACAGAAGTGCAACATCTGATTAAACTGTACTCCCCTGAGAACTGAAAGTAATTAGTGTCTTACCTCATAGCTACTGTACTATAAGGTCATAGGGCTGATTTTCAGCATAACACATAGCATTATTTGATACTTCTCAGCCTGAATTCATAATTACATGAATTTTAAACAACTATACAGATTTCTTTAAAAGGATAGACCCATTTGATCCTAAACTTTTGACCTGCTCTCTAGATCCCTACTTACAGTTGACCAATATGGTTAGAGTATGAAAGTTAAGATTGGCGGGGGAAGGAGGGCCAGCACAGCGGAAGTGGATAAAAGAGGATAATTAGTGCTGAGGCTTTTCCTATCTCTCCCAAGAGCTTCTTATACCTCTTGTTCTTTAAGGAGAGAGATTTGAGCCATACATATCTTTATAAGCCATATGTATCTTTTTTGGGAAACGGGTTAAAGGGGCTGAGTGTTTAGAGTAGTCTGAAGATTTTAGTGTGAAAGCAAAGCTAACAAGAATGAAGAGATAAAAGTAAAATACTGATCTAACTATGACTGTGTAAGGTCTTTTGATAAGGTCTTCCTGCTTGCTGTTTTGTTAAAGAGTTTGCTAAACTGGCATGAATTATTCTGCCTAATACTAAAGTTTCTATGAAACACTTCTTAAGTGTTTAAGAATAAATGTTTCTGGCGAAGCGCTGTCCTATGTTATGATTATGTGGAAACTTAATAATTGCTTGAGGTGTTTAAAATAAATTTTTCATCATATCACCTTTGACTTTTTGAGATATTTTTGTGTTAACATTTTGCTTTTTTGCTAATCCAACAACTGGAACAAAAACCTCTATTCAAACAGCAAGAACTCAGTCTTGTGTGTAATATCTTGAATCAGAAATACTTCAGTAACAGTTACACAGCCTGTGTAGGAAAACTCATGCCACTGGATTGGCAGGTTGGTGAAACTACATGGGTAAAAAACAATCATCATTCCTAAAAGAGGAAGGATGAAATCAACTTTTAAGTACCTCTGCTGAGATAGGTGTTTTCAAATACTTTTAATAATTTTAGCAATTCAAAGCACATTCTTTAACAGCACACAGGTGATAAACTTTCAAATAACATATCATATGGGTTTTAAAATATTAAAACTTTTATATATCATAATAAGAGTGAATATAATGGATAGTTGCCAAAAATTCTTGCTAACCCTTTAAAAAAAAACTGTTGCCATCAATTCAATTTCAACTCATGGGGACCCCATATGTTACACAGTAGAACTGTTGCTCTATAGGGTTTTCTTGGCTGTAGTCTTTATGGAAGCACACTGCCAGGCATTTCTCTCAAAAGAGCTGATGGATAGGTTCAAACTGCCAACCTTTAGGTTAGCAGCTGATCATAAACCACATATGCCACTCAGGTACCTTCTAAACCTAACAGGTTTTACAAAAACAAATACCACAGTTAATTAAACAAAAAATTTTTAATCCACTAAAAAGTAAATAAAGGGATTAAACCAGATTCAGGATTGAAATGATGTAGTCCTCCACGAAGATTTCAAAGCCAGATTTCTCACCTCAATCTAAGAAGGAAAATGTGAAAGTATCAGCAATTCAAAAGAATATCAAAGAAACACCCTTATACATGATAAAACCAGTATCCAAATAGGCTACAGCACATCAGTATGGAAAAACCACAACCAGAATCAGCTCAGAGAGAAGATTAAGGGATCATACCCTGGTCAGAGCCAACACAAAAGCAATGGCAATACCAGGTCAGACTATACTTCACTCATCATTGCATTCCACCTCGCTGTAATATCTGAGAGCATTCCATTGCCCTATTTTCACGTCCAATTAAATTTAGGATTATCTATGAAAAAAATACTTTTTAAGGTAAGTTTTAACCACGGGTTTTCAATAAATATTTTATCTTCTACACTTTGTTTTAAGCAATTCTGCTACACAAAGAGCAAACTTGCACTTTTCTTTAAGCACAGAGGAGAGTGGATTAGCATTTACTGTTCAAAAACATTTTTTTAATGAGCCCAAACACCATGCATTAACAAAATCTCAGGGGTATTTGTAAAGGGACTTATAGTCTAGTTCTAAAGCTAAAACTTTAGAAAAGATTTTCTACTAAATTTCTTTATAAAGTAAATCCCAGTTAATTTAATGTATAATTCCATTTACAATTCTGCTAACAAATATTAAAAAGTATCATCATAAAATTTTTATACAGGGATCTTCTAATGAGTCCAAGAACCAGAGAGGCTATGATTTGCCAAAGGTCCATAGCAAATGAACGGCAGAGCTGGGAAGAAAACTGAGGTCTATCTTCAGTTTTATATTTTTCTACTACCAGCTAAATATAAGGTTTAATTCCATTTTTCTCCTGGCTCTGACCCTTAGATTTACTAATGAGGGAGGGCATGGGCAAAACAAAGAAATCAAGGCAGTCTGGATAATTCATAACCTGTATAATCAATTTCTAAATGAGAAAGTTGATGGCATTTCATTTATTCTAAATGGCACCTTCTGGTGGTAGAGTATCACTGACATGGAGCAATACCAGGATCTCCAGACCTTCAGCATGGTATTGTCAGTGTCTAAATAACTATTCTGGATACGCCATATGCTTCCTTCACTGACATTCCATAGTTAAAAACTGACAGCTGTTGATCTGTGTTCTCCATGCAGCAAATGAGCTTCATAAAGAAAGGGAAACTAATGTACAAAGTGCCTATGATGTAGGGGATATGCTTTACCCTTTATCTCATCCTCTACTGGTGAAGTAGGTACAAGTTAGAAATGAGTGAACAAAGCTTGGAGAGCTTAATATAAGTAACTTTGCCTAAGATTATGGCACTTGTGAGCAGAGCCAAGATCTGAACCAGCGAGTACCTGACTTTAAAGTCCAAGCTTCTTGTACCAGACCATACTGCCGTCTCCCTGGGTCTCATGCCGTACACTGAATATTACATACATATCGACCTTAAACTACTTAAGTATGATTATGTCATTACTCACAAACATTCAAAGGCTCCCCATGGCCCAGGAAATAAAAATCCAAACTACTTTGCCTAGCATTCAAGATGTTTCAAAACTGACCCAAATTTATCCTTAACACTATAACCCTAACACGTACCTTATAGTCCAAGCAAACCAGACTATGCTCTTTTGTGCCCCCCATCGAGAAAGTCCTTCCCCTCTGTAGAACCCTTTCCTGTACTTCAATCCTACCTCTCCCTTTGTGACCCTCTAAAATGCCACCTTTGGCATAAAGTCCTTTCTCCATCAATCCAACGGGAAACATCTGTCTTTCCTCCGAATTATAGAAGTACTTTGCCTGTACCCATGATGTCGTACCTATTTCACTTTGTAGAGTATTTTAAGATGGAGACATCCTAACATAAAATTCAAGATCCTTAAAAATCTATCCCCTGCCTACCTTTCAGCTTCGTCTTCAGTCGGGGGGCAAACCCACCATGTGCTCCAGCCACACACAGCAGTTACTATGCAGTTTTCTCCCTTAGCACATTTTCTTCCGCCTGCAATGGAATGCCTTCCCCACCCCTTTCAATCTAGAGAACGGTTAATTCTAAAAACTTTACTCAAATGGCACCTCTGTGAAGTGGTCCCTTAGTCACTCCCTTCTCTGACTCCCAGAGCACTTTTTTTCAATCACAGCACAGCATCACATTCCAACTATTCACCCATTCACGTGTCCGCTTGCCCCTCTCACCAGCCCCATCACATTGAGTTCCTAAGGAACCAGGCCCGTGTTTTACTGGCCTTTGCAACAACTGCACCTAGAATGTAGCCTGGTAAATCCATTGAGGAGGCTCAATAAACGAGAGTTCAATTCAATCAGTGAGCGATTCTCACAGTCTACTAAATCCTAAGCATCAGCCGATTTACCTCCAACATTGGCAGCATACCTCAACTATCTCCAAGCTCTCATTCCCCCAGCTTCCACCTCACCACACTCAACCCAGCGCCCTACGCAAGACAGCCAATGCTTACACACCCCAGGCCCTCAATAATAAGATCCAAACTTTTAACTTCACGAAAGACTAAGAGAAGTCGTTCTTGCAGGAAACACAAGTTAGGCCGATGCCAGGACTTCACCAAAGACCCAGGCAGAAGTCCGTCGCCCGCTGTAAGAACTCCTAAAACTCCTACGTCTTAGATTCCCTCAGGAGCCTGTCCCAGCCGGCGTAGACTAACAACAACCGACCTCTCCGGTTTCGGTCCCGGGCGATAACCGCCTACCGCGTTCCGACTCCCCTCCGCCTCCCTGCCCCACCTGTGTCCCATAGTCCAGTGCGGCCTTCACCGGACAACCAATCCCACGGCGGCCAGTACGTCACGTGGACCGCAGCCCTTGAGGCGGGGCTGGTGAGAGCAGCAGCCAATCGGAGGCCGAGGAGGACGTCGTAGGTGGAGAGGGCGAGGTGGCTGACGCTCCTCTTCCGTCGTTCGTCGCGTCCGGGGTTATTTTCTGAGAGCTAGTTCAGTTGCTTTCTTTCTCTGGGCAATTTTTTTTTTTTTTTAATTTATAATGCCCTGCCCTCCGGCGTCGAGGCGACTGTTAACCAGGGTGGTTTTGCGGGTGCCTTATTTTCACAACTGAGAAAGGGCATCTGAGGCGGGATCGTAGTATTAGGATGCACCCTAGGATAGCTGGATTCGGAGTGATCCTATAGTATTTATTGCTCTTCTGCAGGATTCCCAACTGAGGGCTAGGGATTGGTGTAGAGACACAGATTAATATGGCCCGCTCTGTCCTAGAGGAAAGGTTCCTGAATGACTCAAACGGTTTGCCTTGTCTACTAACCCAAAGGTTGGCAGTTCGAACACACCCAGCGGAGCAGCAGGAGAATGCCTGGCGATCTGCTTCCACAAAGACTGTTGTTATTGTGTGCCATGAGCGGATACGACTCTTAATGACCCTATAGGACAGGGTAGAACTGCCTCCATAGGGTTTCCTAGGCTGTAATCTTTATGGGAGCAGACCTGCAGAGTAGCTGGTGGATTTGAACCGTTGATCTTTTGGTTAACAGCCACCCAGCACTTAACCATTGTGCTGCCAGGGCGCCTATACGCAGAGATCACAACCAAGAAAAACCCATGGAGCAGTTCTACTCTGAAACACATAGCATCGACTTGAGTTGGAATCAGCTCCGCAACAATGGGTTTGGTTTGGTATTTTGGTCCTAGTGCAATTTATTGGCTGACCCAGGAGCTTGGACGCTTCTTAACCCTTTCCAGAACGAATTACTTTCTGCTTTGAATTTTTTATTGAAATCATGTGTTTTCAATAACGGAAGGCATTCCGATATCAGTGAAAAATTTTTTGAGGTAATATGAATTCTGATACAAATAGTGGAACAGGGAGGTCCCAAGTGAACTCTGGTGTTGGGATTGGTGGTATGAGGCCAGATTCACGCAGTTATAGTGGCCTCCACCAGGTGGCAGAACGCGCTAAAAGTGGGAAAGCAACTTCTTAAGAAATCTAAGGGGCTGAAAATGCAGGCGGGCGAACGTTCCTGGTGAAAGGGCTAAATAAGCAAATAGTAGAGATTGGTGCCACACGAAAAGTGCAGACGAATATCAAAAAAGGACGAAGGAGAGCAGGAAAGATTTCCTGGGAGAGGTGGCATTTGCTCTGAGTTTTGAAGGGTGGATGGAGTTTGAGAATGAGGAGATCCTATGAAAGAGTCAAGAGTGAAATGAAGGCACCTGGGAGCCAAGGGACCAATCTTACCTCCTCAGGCAGTTTCTTTGTAGTGCATGTGAAAGTTGTGCAATAACTAGCTCTGCTGATAAACTGACATGCTTAGTGAATGAACACATCTTAAATAACTGTGTACTGCTAGTTCTTAGCCAGTGTTCATCAGCAAGCTCGGTTGCCTGAGACCTAAGAAAATGCACTATCTCAGCTTCTGATTTCAAGTTGTTTTTCATCAGGGACATTTGCTGTAGAACCAAGATGTGGAGTCCTCCCTGGCTTGATAACCTAACTATTCATATCCAGGGGACTTAACTAAGGAACTTTGAAGAAAGAAGAGAAGCCCCACTTGCTCATCTTCCACATTATCCTCCCTTCCCCTGATTTGATTTGCACTGAAGAAGAACACAAAGGAAACAACAGCCCAGTTTCTAGCACTCCCCACCAAAGAACTGCTCTTCCTGTTGACTGGGGGAAAGGGAGGGAGGTACTTAGGTAGGTTTCAGATTTTGAAGGCTCTCAAGCAATCCAGAACCCCAAGCCTGAAAGGCAGTGGAAAGAATAGGAGCATTTGAATTTGACTGGCTTTGACTTTGACTGGCTTTGAACCCCAGTTCTTTCACTTTTTGGCCATGTAATTTCAGCATTTGTGCGATGTGTAAAGCTCCCAGTATGGTTCCTGGCACCTAGTAAGCAGATGTCCAATATATGGTGGTCATTTCTAAACTTCTAAAAGTAAGTAATATCAAAGGGATTTCAGCGTGAAAGTAAGGCCAAGAAATAGGATAGATGGTAGAACTAAAAGTGAGACTGAAATTAGGAGTGAAAATCTAATTAAGAATGTCATTTCATCATAAACAAATTGAAGCAGAAACACAGCGTTCCTTGCTGGTTTGACTTACAGGGAGAGAAGTGTATTAGTTTCCTGTGGCTTCTGTAACAAATTACCACAAACCTGGTAGCTTAAAACAACAGAAATCTATTCTCTCACAGTTCTGGAGGCCAGAAGTTCAACATCCATTTCACTGGGCCAAAGTCAAAGTGTTAACAGAGCTGTACTCCCCCAGAGACTCTAGGGGAGAATCTGTGTCTTACTTCTTCCAGCTTCTGGTGGCTGCCAGCCTTCCACTTGTGACTGGATTTAGGACCCACCCAAATAATCCAGGATAATCTGCCCATTGAAAATCTTTAACTTAAGCACATCTACAAAGACCCTTTTTCCTTATAAAATAACATTTACAGTTTCCTGGGATTAGGGCCTGAAGTCTTTGAGTGGCCATTATTCAACCTACTACAAGAAGCTCAACCCAGTTTAGCCAGCATCCTCAAATGAGATAACTGACTTTCATCTGTTTATTTTTCCATTTAAATGTTTTTCATTATAAAAACAATTCATGTTCATTGTAGAGCATTTAGAAAGTACAGAAAAGTTCAAAAAAAAAAAAGAAAAGAAATTAAATGAAAACTCATCTGCAATCTTCCCACCAAGATATAGCCAGCCCCTCATTTGTGAGCATTTTTCTAGCTTGGATCTTATGTTCAACAGGGAAGAAGAGTTGGGAAAAGAGAATAAAAGTAAATAGGATATAACAAGCAATTTGAAAAGTAATAAAATAAGTTAATATTTCTCACAAAGTATATGTACAGGATAAAACAAAACAAAAGTAAAAAACAAAACCCTTTGCTATGGAGTCAATTCTGACTCATAGAGACCCTATAGGACAGAGTAGAACTGCCCCATAGGGTTTCCAAGGAGCAGCCGGTGGATTCAAACTGCCGATCTCTTGGTTAGCAGCCGAGATTTTAACTACTCTGCCACCAGGGCTCCATGTACAGGACAGCCGAATGTAAAATGTACATAGATCTTTTGCAAATGAAGTTAACCAGGACGAGAGGTGCTTGTATGGGTGTATGGAAATTACTTTCTGTCCATCTGAGGTGGTAAGTTTAGCTTTGGCTTCTGACTTGACAGCCCTAGAATTTTCCCATTACTGCTTCATTTACTCCCTGAGCTCAGACCCTGGCCTGCTAATGTGTCCAGTCATAGGCGTTTTGAGTCCTTATCAGCCTTCCTCAGTGGGTCAGTGTTGCGGAGACTTGAAGAGTCTGGCAGAGTTCCTGCTCCTCCCAGGCTGATATCAAAGGGCAACAGGGGCTATGACAGAAGGCAAACATTCAGACTAAAGCCAGATGTGAAACAGAAACAGCAAGAGGAAAAGCACGAGCATCAGGTAAAAAAAAAAAAAAAAAATTTTTTTTTTAAATCTCACCTGTCTTATGTGCATTTTATGTCTGAGGGTATGAAAGGTAAGGAGAAACTTGTAAAAGAGAATAAGTGAGAAATTCTGGAAAGTTTGAAAAGAACGTTCATATGGAGCTAGAATCTCAGAAAACTTTGTCTTTATTGCCGGTGTTACCAGCATCCAGGTAACATCATAGAGGCTTGGGAGTCATGAGACTGTAGTGTGTGCTAGTTCAAAATCAACTTCTTCTGTGGGTCCCGCAGGTGGAAGCTATAGGGAGACAAGTTACAGCTCAAAATAAGGAAATCTAACAGAGCTGTTGAAAATAGAAGGGACTGCTTTGAGAGATAGTGAGTTACTTGTTGCTGAAGGTATTCAAACAGTTGCTGGATGGAAATTTATTGGGAGTTAGAAATATTACAGAGGGATTTACGAATCAGACAGGTGGTTGGATTGGAAGATCTTTCAGGTCCCTGCCAACTCTCTGTGATTCTATGATATTAAAAGAATGTCAGGCCATAAAATACCATATTTACATGTACCTATAGGAGATGCTCACATACTAAAAAACAATTCCTCAAGCTGATTCCTGTTTGCCTGGGGGAAGTGAGAAGGCAACCAAAACAGCCTAATGTCAGAAGAAGGTACAAGTCATGGATGTCTGCTCGTTCCCTCTTGGTGGGTGTAAACAACACCCACATGGCCCCTGCTTTGTAGTTATCATGGAGAAGAAATGGGTTCTTTTCCCCTAGAGGAAGAACTTTGGTTTAGTAAATATTTTGTTTTGCAATTAATAGAAGGTTAAAGGGGGTCCTTTCTGAAATATTTGTTTCAGAGCCCTAATTTCAGTTCAGATTGCTATTCCCTGGTCTGTGAAACAAAAAAGGAGCGAAAGGAGGGCTGACTACAGATTAATGACCACTTTCCAAAGTCTCATGTTCTCTTCCAAGTCTTAAGGGTTCCCACAGTACAGTCCAGAGCCAGTAGAAGGGAAGGAAAAGTACTGCTTCTGCACATCACACTATCTATGTGTGCTTTTAAATGTACTTTTAAAACTTAGAAGAGAGTTTGAAGTGCTAAATAGGCTAAAGCCTTCTAAATATATGAAATAGCACATAAAGAATGCCAAATTTTGTGTTTATTTTAATAGCAAAATCTTTAATGTCACATATACTCCAAGACTATTACTCCCTTAATTCTCTACTTTCTTCCTTTCTTTTCCCCTTGAATTATAAAAAGGACATTTTCTGTCTTCTACTTCTGCATATTCTCTAATAACTCACTTTGGTTTCTGTGCCAACTCATGCCCTTTATATCTGGGCTTGACGCTGGCACTTACTCAGTCTGAATGGGAAAAGACGGACATTTCCAGCAATATGATTTTCCCATCATGACAAAATATCAAGCAATCACCTTTATCTATGCATGTTCATGTTGGGAAGGTAAAGGATATTGGCAAAGCAGTTAGAAAACAGTAATGTCTAAGATTATTTTTCAGTGCTAAATTGTATCTCTAATAATTTATAACTTTGGAGAAAATATTGTACTGTAAACTCTGGAATACCTGTCAATGTAGAAACATTTCTGTCTTAATGTTTTTTATAGGAATCCCTTTCTATTGTTGTTTGGAGCACAAAGAGACTGCTGAAATGGAGAGTCTTAAGACTAATATGGACACACACTATCCTGAGAGAGTTGTAGAGGTGGGCAGAGTGACTTTTGGAGAAGAGAATAGGAAGAAGATGACCAATACCTCTTTGAAAAGAACAGAGAATTCTAAAATCATCCATGCTATCTGTGCACTGTTAAATTCTGGAGGGGGTGTGATCAAAGCAGGCATTGATGATGAGGCATACAGTTACCGATGCCATGGGCTGGGGCAAGATCTGGAAACTTCTTTTCAAAAACTTCTTCCTTCAGGTTCACAGAAATATCTTGACTACATGCAGCAGCAACACAATCTCCTGATTTTTGTAAAGTCGTGGAACCCAGATGTTTTCAGCCTCCCCCTAAGGATTTGCAGCCTGCATTCCAATTTGTATCAGAGAGATGTGACTTCTGCTATCAACTTGAGTGCCAGAAGTGCCCTGGAGCTTCTCAGAGAAAAACAGTCCAGAGCCCAAAGAGGAAGACTGAGGGTGAAGGAGCTGCATTCTCAGAAAACTCTTGACAGATACATTCAGGAGGAGGAAGATATGAAGGCATCTGCCTCAGAATTTTTAAAAAAGGAGAAACTCATGTATAAGGAGAAACTCAACTTTACTGAGTCAACCCATGTTGAGTTAAAAAGGTTCACCACCAAAAAGGTTGTGCCTCGGATGAAAGAAATGTTGCCTCGTTATGTTTCTGCATTTGCCAACACTCAAGGGGGGTACCTAATTATTGGGGTAGATGATAAGACCAAAGAAGTATTTGGATGTAAGAAAGAGAAAGTAAAACCTGACTTACTGAAAAAGGAAATAGAATACTGCATAGAAAAATTGCCCACATTCCACTTCTGCTGTGAGAAACCAAAGGTGAATTTCGCTACCAAAATCTTGAATGTGTACCAAAAAGATGTCCTGTATGGTTATGTCTGTGTGGTTCAAGTGGAGCCCTTCTGTTGTATAGTATTCGCAGAAGCTCCAGATTCCTGGATCATGAGGAACAATTCTGTCACGAGGCTGATGGCTGAGCACTGGGTGACCCTGATGCTGGATATTCAATCAGGTAAAGTGGGTGCAGGGTCACTGTCCTGTGGGCAGGAGGGAACTTGCCCGTTCTCTGCCTTTGGTGGGTATTTGTCAGATATTTTAGTTAAGGAATAGAAAGCTGCTTTTGCTTACAAACATTCTCTCATTACGGGTTTTTTTCTAACATCTTTAAGTTCCATTGACTCAGAATCTGAGCTCTTTGAGGTCAAGAAATGCTTGGATTTTAGTCTATTTTGGGAAGGTTATAATATCCCATCCGCCATAAATTAGTGAAAGTTCCTTTTTCCAGTAAAGGCGTGTTTAAAAAACTTTTTTTTTTTTTAATTGTACTTCAGGTGAAGGCTTACAGAACAAATAGTTTCTCATGAAACAGTAGTACACATGTTGTTTTATGACATTGGTTAACAACCCCACAACATATCAACCTTCTAACTTCTCAGCCTTTTTTTTTTTGGTGAAAATATACATAGCCAAAGATACACCATTTCAAAAATTTCTACATGCACAGTTCAGTGACATTGACTACGCTCTTCCAATTGTGCAGTTATTCTCACTTAAGATGAAGGCTTACAGAACAAAATAGTTTCTCATTTAACAGTTACTACAAATGTTGCCCTATGACAATGGTTAACAATCTCACAACACATCAACACTATCCTTACTCAACCTTGGGTTCCCTATCACCAGCTTCCTTGTCCCCTTCTGCCTTGTGGCCCTTGTCACTGGAATCCTGTACCTCGTTAGTCTCATTTGGTTTTATGGGGCTGTCCACTCCCAGGCTGAACAGTGAACCTCGGAGGTAACTTCACCACTGAGCTAAAAGGGTGTCTGGGGGCCATACTCTCGGGGTTTCTCCAGTCTCCTTTAGGCCAGTAAATCTGGTCTTTTTTGTGTGTGAGTTAAAGTTATGCTCTACATCCTTCTCCAGCTCTGTCCAGAACCCTCTGTTGTGATCCTGGTCAGAGAAGTCAGTGGTGGTAGCTGGACACCCTTTAGCTGTACTGGACTCAGTCCGGTGGAGGCCTTGGTAGCTGTGGACAATTAGTCCTTCGAACTAATCTTTTCCTTGTATCCTGTTCTCTTCATTCTTCCTTGCTGCCGAAGGGATGAGACCAGCGGAGTATCTTAGATGGCCGCTCGCAGGCTTAAAAAACTTTTGCAGGTTGGTATTCCTAGTCAAAAAACTTCATCAATCGTTGCACCCTAAAGATGATATTTCAGAGAAACTTTGTTTAAGAATGACTCTTCACTGATTTTTTCAAAGGAAACGTTGAGAAATTTGAATTTTTTCAGTAACATTTTATTGAGTGTTTTAGGCGCTAATTCCATCAACCACTGGGTTTAGGGCACAACCAAGTGGGCAAAAACAATGCAAAAAGGAGATGGAGTTGGCAGTAGGGTAAGGAGACACCTAGTGTTTTCACTTCCCTTACTGTTTAGCTTGGAATCAGCCCTAGTGATTCCTAATCAATCCATAAAGGATTTATAGACTGATCAAAGGTTATAAGCTTAGTGCCTTCATGGTCATTATGTTCTAAATTTGATAAAAAGAAGCTTGGATCAACACTTGAGTGATTAGAGAATTTTATTGGATCATTCTTTCTCTTGTCCTAAATTTGTTTAAGTTTCCTTCTCTCTCTGTCTCTCTCTTTCTCTCTCACACACACACACATTGGATATCCTGCCACTTTCTAGTCCATCTAAACTGTTGAACGGGGACTTAACTATGTTATTGATGTCAGTTGCTGTTGAGTTGATTTTGACTCACGGCAACCCTCTGTGTGCAGAGTAGAACTGTGCTCCATAGGGTTTCCAAGGCTCCGACCTTTTGGAAGAAGCCCTTGTGGCACAGCAGTTAAAGTGATTGACTGCTAACTGAAAGGCAGTTTGAAACTACCAGCTACTGTGTGGGAGAAAGATGTAACAGCTTTCTTCCATAAAGATTTACAGCCTTGGAAACCCTGTGGGTTCACTATGAGCTGGAATCGACTTGGTGGCATTCGGTTTGGAGTGATCTTTTGGAAGCAGATCGCCAGACCTGTCTTCTGAGGTGCCTGTGGATGGGTTCAAACCGCCAATCTTTCAGCTAGTAGTCAAGTGCTTAACCATTTGTGCCACCCAGGGAGTCCTTAAACAACTATATCTGTATGTATAGCTATTTATATACTGTGCTTAACCTTTGCTGACTCCACTAGATGGCTTTTTCTCTTAGAGATGATCCGGAATCAGAATATTAGAGTTGGAAGGAGACTTAGGGATCATGAACTCACTGTTGCATGTGAGAGAGGTGAAACGACTTGCCCCAGAACCACACAATTGAGTTAGCAGATACATAACCCTTTAGGAGTTCTCAGCCTTCCTTTCCTGACATATGTGAACTGTTTGAGCCACAGAAAGTGTAAGGACAGCTCAGGCAAGATGCACACCCCATGTTTCCAGTAGAAGAGCAAGGAAGGAGTTCCTTTGTTTTGTTTCTTGTCTGAAACAACTTTCCATGTATTTGTTTAGCTCCTTCCAGTTTGGCTACAGACCACAGCTCTCACCTGATTTCACCAGCTTCATCTGCAGTAAGAACCTCGGTATATCCCAGAAAAGTCCTGGAATTTAAGGGGACACTGCAACAGCATTTCTTTCCAGGTATTCCCTCTTGATTTCAGCTGAGGGGAGTATTTGTTTTTTAAAATTAAGTGAGGAGGAATTGGTAGCAATTAGTCCAAGCCTTTCTCCTTAGTTAAGGTCAAATGTAACATAGCAGACATAATGGTCCTGAAGTAATATGGCCAACCCTTGTTAGACAGTCATCAAATCCCCATACTTTATACTCCTCACTGCTGTGTGCTTTTGGGCTTCCAGTTAGTTATACAATATATAGCTTTTGTTCTCCAAATTTGAGAATGCTGGAAATTCCTTAGGTCTTAGGCCTTACGAATTTCTTAGGCCATAAGAGAACTGCCCCTGACTTTCCGATTCAGAAGGAGCCATGAGGTCATCTGAACTTCTAAAGCAGGCTTCCTCAACCTCAGCACTATTGACAATGGGGCCAGATTATTTTTTTGCTGTAGTAGGATGCCCTGTGCATTGTAGGATATTTAGCAGCATCCTTGGCTCTACCCACTAGATGCTGTTAGCATCGCTCCAGTTGTGACAAGCAGAAGTGTCTCCAGACACTGCCTAATGTCCCCGGGGGGATAAAACTGCCTCGGGTTATTAGTCACTGTTCTAAAGGAAAACTCATAGTTCCTCAAAAGGATCAGGTTCACAAAAAGACCCTCTACAGGAAGGAATACCTTCCCATTGGAAGCAGGCCACCTGGGGTTGAGGAGAGGTTTCCAAGAGGCAGTTCCGTGAAGGCTGTTCCCTGACAGCCTTCCCCGTGCTAGAGCTACCAGAAACGAAAACTTTTCTAATCTCAGGTCTGGGCCCTAAAGAGGGGTTAGCCTCTCCATGCAGGAAAGGAAACCCATAGCTTCATGGCTAGAACCATTTCTCCCCTGTGATACTGCACCAGGAATACTTACAATACACTTTTGTGCATTTTTGCTCTCTTACTTTTATTCTTCTAATTTTCAGTGACACAGGAGGAGATACAATTTAAACCAGAGTCTCTCTGCAAGAAGTTATTCTCAGATCATAAAGGACTGGAGGAATTAATGAAGGCACAGATATATCCTTGTTCTCAGGGGATTGTGATATTTTCTAGAAGCTGGGCTGGTGACATTGGCTTAAGGGAAGAGCAGAATGTCCTGTGTGATGCTCTCCTAATAGCACTTAACAGGCCCCTGGTACTCTATACAATCTTAATAGACACCAGTTGGACTGGAAGACTTGAATATGTCCGAAACACTGCTTATCAGTTAAAGCAGAAACTGGAAACTGTTGGTGGTTACATGGGGAAAGTGTGTGTCATCCCGAGGTTGATGCACCTGCCCAGCACACCGTATGTACCCAATGAAAGCCCTGTGCACTACCCCCAATCCTACAGGCTTGCGAATAAGGATGAAATGGAAGACTTGTTGCAGGCCCTTGTGGTGATCTCGCTATGCTCTAGATCTCTTCTGAGTGACCAGCTGGGCTGCGAATTTTTCAACTTGCTCATAGAAGAGCAGTGCGAGCTACTTTCCAAGAGCCTTCAGGAGACACGGGAACTGTTCATCCACTGCTTTCCAGGAACCAGGAAAACAGCCCTAGCCATAAAGATTATGGAGAAAATTAAAAACTTGTTCCACTGCAAACCAAAAGAGATCCTCTATGTTTGTGAAAATGACTCCTTAAAGGACTTTGTGACGTAAGAGTTTTACCAAGTTAACACAATAAACGTATTTAGTCAGTCTTTTTAATAATGTCACAAAAGTGATTTGTGTTTTTATTTAAGATTTTGCACTGTCTTAGCTGAATAAGTGCAAGAGCCTAAACTATATGCGCATTTCCAGATGATCAGGCAGTTGAGATAGAGACAGGCAATTTACAGTGTTCAGGCTTAAACATCTCGATATATATGTATACATATACATGTGTATATTTATGTGTGTATATATTTATGTAACACACACCCCAAGTATGCATATATGCATAACTTTAAATTTCTAGAACTAGAAATGTTGCTTTTTTTTTTCTTTTCACAATCTATGACCTTAAATTTAAGAAAAGTAGAAATGAATCTATCTTGCTTAAATATACTTTTTTCTTGATACTTAATGCTTTAAAGCCATAGGGCATTTCAGTTAATTAGACATTGTATTTACCAGGAAATTGTATTAAATACCATTTGATTTTGTTTATAAAATATTTTCATTTTCATTTGTTTGACTTGTTCTGAATCAATACCTTTAGAAAACATGTAAATTTGCTTCTAATTTAAGTCTTTAGCTTTCAACTTAGCAAAAAAAATTGATTGTAATACAACTCAGCAAATGAGGGCAAATTCATTTTGATTTTTGGTTTGGTTTACTTATTTATTCAACATTGAGCACCTTTTATACACTAGGCACTATGCTAGACTTAATCTCAGGGTTGGGCCCTAAAGAGGGGGGTGGCCTCTCTATGCAGGCAAGAAAACCCATAGTTTCATAGATGGGGACAAATACATTGAAGGCCTTGCCATCAGGTCCAATAAGGGAGATAAAGAAAAAATAAACAATGAGAGCATGGTATAATTAATATAATAATGAAGATATATTCATCTTAACTCAGGCTGGAGGTTGGCTGGCTCACATGCTCCAGTGAAGGAGACTCTTGGGCCCACTGTTAGGAAGTCAGTAGGAGAAGTGAGTAAAATGGGGCAGGTTTTCTAGGTAAAGGGCACATCCAGTGCAAAGGCATGTAGAACGAGAACCAGAGTGGTAGGTCTGACTGGAGCAGAGACAGAGTATGGATATGTGACAGTGATGAAGCCGAAGAGGAGGCAGATGCCAGATTATGAACGATCTTGTAAGCTGTGTCAAGAACTATGTTCTTTATTATGCTTTATAGCTAAGTTAAAGACTATTCCAGTCAAAAGGGTAATTCAATTCAACAATTACTTACTGAATCCCTAATGTGAGGGAGATACAGAGAAGGCTAAGAATTAGTACTTTTCTTCAGGAAGCTCATACAGTCCAAACTGGAGGAGAAGAACATGAATAATTATAATTCAAGGCATAGGGAATTATAATTCCCAGGAACTGTCTATGTAAAAGGAGCCCTCATGGCACAGTGGTTAGTTAAGCACTTGGCTGTTAAAATTAGGGTATCTGTAGGATTGAGTGACTTTAGTTGGATCCAAATTAGAGGAGACAAGAAACAACCCAGTTTAAAAAATACACACACACACACACACACACACACACACACACACACACGCTAAAAATGAAAGGAAAATTGAGCTAAGTAAATGTAGTAGCTCTAGAGAGGCATAGCCTTGTAGACTTGTTACCCTCCTTAACATGTCATGGAGCTCAGCAACCTTTGGTGTTTTCCTTACCAAAATCTGAAGAGGCTTTCTATGAGAATGCACTTCTGGTTTTGTACTACAAGTTAAGCGCAGAAATAGGATTTGGTTTAGAGGAATTTATACTAGTCTTTTGCATTTAAAAATTATGATATGCTTCTAGGTGACTATTCTCCAGCACTAAAAAGGACAGAGAGTAAAGAAATGGTGGTAAGGAGTGTAAATTGCTTCTGAGATTTCCTTTAAATGTAAGGAGCTAGTCTTCAAGGGTGATCAAGCAGCAGAAATGAGTTACTAATTCAAAAAATAAAATCTCCTACCTGAGTTCATTTAAAAAGATTTCACAGGCAGATTTAACTAGATAACCCCAAAGAGTAGGGTTTAAAATTTATAGGTTCCATTTGTTTGGTAACTTGTAAGTGAGCAGTCTTGTAGTATTCAGGACTCTGTTGAATCACTTAATGAATCGGCCTCCAAAAGAGAACTAGCTTCTGATTCCAATTCAGACAGTAATGAGTGCATAGTGTTCCCTTTGTTTATATACCTGAAACCCTATTGTTTCTTTCATCCTTATAGCCAACAAACCACCTGCCAAGCAGTGACACGGAAAGCCTTCATGCAAGGAGAGTTCCTAAAGGTTAAACACATAGTGATGGATGAAACTGAGAATTTCTGCAGTAAATACGGTGATTGGTATCTGAAGGCTAAGAACATCACCCATCCAAAGGTGAGGGGGGCTGAAAGTGGAAACCTTCACCATGGGATTCTCTGGCTTTTTCTGGACCCTCTCCAAGTCTATAATGCAGATATCAGTGGCCTCCCTCCTCCATCAGCTCAATTTCCTCGAAAAACAATCACCAAGGGGATCCATTGTGCTCTGGAAATAGCACAGGTTATGAAAGAAGAAATGAAGAGAATCAAAGAAAGTATTCCCTTCAGTATGACTATAGATGCATTGGCATTGTTCAGAGAAGCTGCCTACGAGGAAGCAATGTGTGCCCAGGCTCTTCCAGGGATGTGTGAGACAGAGACTAATGTGACAAAAGAACAAATAGCAAACCATGTGGCGGAAAGATGCCATAGCCTGTTCCAACGTGGCTATCTGCCCAAAGATATAGCCATTCTGTGCAAGAGATGGGAGGATAGAGGACGCTATGAACCTGCACTACTGAAAGCAATGGAATTAATTGAGACCCATGGAGCAACAGAAGTTGTGTTTAGTCGGGCCGCTGGTGTTGGGGGACGTCACATTGTTCTAGACAGTATTCAGCAGTTTTCAGGCCTGGAGAGGAATATTGTATTTGGGATTAGTCCAGAATGTGCCCTGTCAGAGAAATTTCACAAGCTCTGCTTTGCCTCCAGAGCTATTAAACACCTCTACCTGTTTTATGAAAAGAGGGCAGCCTTTTGAAAATTATTAAAAATGACACAGGAAGCCAGAAAGAGCAGAATCCCTTCTCCCAGGCAGCTGGCAGCTACTCCTTTTCATATATTACAAGTGAGGAAATGAAAGCATGGTCAGTATGACCTGGAGCCACAGAAATGTCTCTTGGGACTGACCTTTCTACTCTATTTGCAGTGCTATTGGCCTTTTTCTAGCTCACTTCACCTCTTCACTGTACAATTACAACAGACTTATAATTGGTTCTCTACCACCAGTTTTCTTAAATCCAAGCCAGCCATCATCCTGTCACCAGAGAGGTTCTACTAAAATGGAGAAGCTGATTTTATAAAACCCCCTGCTCATGTATCTTCAATGAGTCCCTGCTACCTTCAAGCCAAACCAGTCTTCAAGGCTTTGCATGATCTGCCCCAACTTACTCGTAACCACATCCTTTATTATGCTTCCATCTCCCAATGTTTCTAACGTACTCCCGATTTACTGACCTATTTTTGGTATGAGGGTAGGGTGCCCTCCAGGCTACTCACTTTGACTGGGTGTCTCAAGGGAAGCACCTTGGTTGGCACCTCATGCTGGCTATGGGTCACCAGCTGTACAGGCCCAGAACTTGATTTCCTCTTTATACAAAGTCTGGATCAGTCTCTTAAGGAACCCTGGTGGTACAGTGGTTAAAGTGATCAACTGCTAACCAAAAGGTCAGCAGTTCGAAACCACCAGTGGCTCAGTGGGAGAAAGATGTGGCAGTCTGCTTCTGTAGAGATGTACAGCCTTGGAAACCCTGTGGGGTCACTATGAATTGGAATCGACTTAGTCTCTTGGGGATGACTTTATGCTAACCAAGCTCACTAAAGACCAGTGCATAAATGAAAATGTCACTTTGTTAATTTACAGTGAGGATTGTAGTAACAAGTGGGCCAGATGCTTTTGCTAATCAGTGCATCCGATAGTAGCATAGGAAGCCAAATTATATGAACACATGTTTGCAGCAAGGAGTGTTGATAATCAGATTCAAATGTATGAAGTGTTTAGGCTATGTTAGACTATTGCAATCATCTCTAAAATATGGACATTCCCTCCACAAGAATTAGACAGGTCAGGTTTTTAAGCTCAGGTAAATTTAGAATGCTAAGGGTGACTAGATTATTCCATAGTCCCTGCCTCATGAAAATTCTTTCTCCTTCCTAGTTTCCAAAGTTTCCAGGTTAACCATCAACTTTCCCTTTACTCCACCCCAACCTATACACACTTTGTATACATTTGTTCTCTGCATATGTTAATACAGTCACCTAGGCTAGAACCTGCTTATGCTGTGCTGATGGCCTGACAGATGTTCTGTCTATGAAGAGCCTTTGCACAACCCTTATTTCTTTCAGAATAATTCAACGATCATTTTATAGTCCAACTCTCAGAGTTTATGGGGAGCCTGTACGGAGGCCACCATCCCTGGGTCCTTGCCTTTGCCTTACCTGTGCCATTTTCTCAGTCTTTAAACCCATTTCTGTCCCCACCACCTGTTGAAATCCTTATTCACCAGCCGAATCCCTGTTCAAATCCTCACTTCCTCAATTAAACTTTCATTAACCCCCTAAGTTAAACTTGGCCTCTCCTTTTTAAGCTACCCTATGGCTTATTCTTCTTCTTTCAATATTAATAATAACATCAAACCCTTACAAACTGTGCCAGAGAAAGAGTGGTTGCCATAGCAGAATCTATGTTACACCCTTCTTTCATGTCTTCTTTCTAGTGTATGTGAAATATATTAGAAATAAAATCAAAGTTCCCTTTCTCTAGTCAGCTCCCAAAATGGTTGAGCCAATCCTATGCTCTTCAGTACAATCTTGCTTTTCTGTCTATAAGGATTTTAAATTGCTTTGGAAATATTGCTCTTTCCAGATTGTTTTTAACTTCTAGAAAAGGTTAGTATAGCTTGATTGAGTCCAAGGAGGCCCAAATCCAGGAGAAAGAATGGAAATATTCTTTTGGCTATAATTTCAGATGGGAGAGCAGGTGAGGCTTGGAGACACTTTCTTAACTGTCTTTCTGAACTGCTCAGGCCCACCCAGAGGGGCCAGGCTGAACCCAGTGTCCAGCATTCTTGGACATGGAACAAGACAACACCTCCCTTGGTCCCTGATGTGCTGATTACTTGGTGTTCCTCCTTTTTATCTTTCCTTGGGGCCTTTAGGGTACTTTTGGGTGGGAGCAAATAAAGTTAAATAATTAATTTTTGGTGAATCAAATGATAGCAATGCATTAACATTATTTGGATATAGGGATATGTATACAGTCTATAAAAAAATAGTTTAAAGAGTCAAAACAGAGGGAGTTGGAAGTATGGATAAGAGTGGTACAGGAACTGCTATATTTTAATCAGAAGCCCTGGTACTATTTGATTTTTTAAACTATATGCAAGTAGTATATGATTTTTGATAAAATAATTTATTTTAAAAAGATTCGTTTTAAATTTGGAATTTGAGAGTCTTTGTCAGTTCTTACCTGACTCAAACAGCTCAGTCAGAGTTCAAGTAGAAGTCTTACCCCAATGGTCCTCAACCCTGGCTAGACATTATAATCATCAGAGGAGCTTAAAAAAATATCAGTGATCAGGCCTGACACCAGACCAATTAAATTAGCAACTCTGGGTGTGGGGCTTGGACTGGTATTCGTTAAAAGCTGTCCAGATTCTTCAAATATGCCACTGAGATTTAGAACCATTGAACCCTTCTCCTAGTCTGTTCTTTCTGTCCCTAAAACAGATGTGTACACACTTCTCTCCAGTAAGACTGCGAGCTCCTTGAGGGTTAAGTGTCATCATTTACACATCTTTATTGCCCCGAAATCAACTAGCACAAGGCCTTGTACCTGGCAGGTGCTCAGTAAATATTTGTGGAATGGACTTCCTCCTTTCAGAAAATCGGAACCTACTAGGGACAATCCTCCTATTCAATGAACTGAATATCTAATTTTGTAGACTTCAAAGAGGTCCGTGTGGAGAATAATCTTCAGCACTGCAATAATAAAGAATAAGAGAATAAAGACAATTGAACTGTTTGTAGGGGAGCAGGCAAAGTTAAAGATCCGTGATAACGAAGTTTGTTAGATTTGAGTTTGTGATTGGGAATTGGTGGGTAATAAGAATAATTTTCTAACTTGGCTGTACTTAGAATTCTAATTTTTTTTCTACAAAGCCTTAATATGATGGCTAAAACAACTAGTTTAACAAAATAACCAATTTAAAAGAGTTGCCTACGGTAAGAAGCTCCTAAAACCTACTTTTAAAAAGAAGAATAATATGATACTGTTGTGTAAATCTGAAAAATGAAGAAAGGTAAAATAAAAAGTTCATATATTGTTATTGAGCCATAATTTTTTTTCAATTTTGCTTTTTTATTTCCATTCTTTGTTGATATGCATATATATTTTTACATAGTTATGATCAAGTTGTGTATCAATTTTATATCCTGTGGATGCTTTTTTTTCCCCGTAACCACTTTGTGAGGCATTGTAAGTTGTATTATTATTCCCAATACTTCATCCCTCCCTATACTGTACACTTTGTAGTTCCTAATGTTAAAACTGGAATATATTTCCTGGCTGCCTTGATGTTGCCTTGATGCGGACTTGGCCATATGACTTGATTTGGACATGAAATATTAGTAGTTATGATGTACGCAGAGGCTTTACATATGTTTTTAGCATTGAGTTTGCTCTCTTGGGTTTCTACCTTTGCCATGAGAAAACATGCCCTGAGTAGCCCATCAGTTGCTGAGGAATGAAAGACATGTGAAACAGACCTGAACTCAATTCATGGCCTGAAGTCAAATTTAACCAAGCTCAACTGGATCAGCCGAAACCTACCTTATCTACAAATACATGAGTAAGAAATAAATGCTTATTATTGTATGACTGAGATTTCAAGGTTGTTTGTTTCACAGCGGTAGCTAATGCAGATATTTTCCTGTGTTGTAGCACAGTCTTCAAAATTACAGTTTTTAATGGTTGCACATATCCTAGCCAGGTCATATGAAATTTCAATAATCATTCCCCTATTATTTGGGTCACTGGCAAATTTTACACTATTAAAATTAAGCCAGGAATATACTCAGGCATATAACCTTTTCTGCCTTTGATATATTTATAAATTTCCAGAGATGGGATTACTGGGTCAAAAGGATGGCCTGGATAAAAGATTCACCTTATGCATATTATTTCCATTGTGTTCTGGTGGGAAATGCATAAAAAAAAAACCCCAATCACTCTACCTGATAACATACAGATTTGTTGCCTTAAATAAGAGAACAACATACTGATATCAGGTTCCGATGAGAAAAAAAAAAAAAAGAGGCATTAGTATTTTAGAAACAGGTGACTCAGAATGTGTTGTCTTTCCATGGGAACAGCTCCCATGGAAAGTGAAACCAAGTCTCATCAACCTAACCCAGAGGCTCAGAGGAAGAATTTAACTTGGAGAATTACTGATGGGAGCATGAATTATGTAAACTTAATATTATATAGAAAAACAACTTTGGTCGTTTGAAACTGATGTCGGGTACTATCTCAGAGAAAAGACAGGACAAGATGACTCTGACCACAAATAAGGCTTTTTTTGAAGAGACAGACTGTTGTGGAGAAATACATTTAAGAAAAGAGAAGAAAGTATAGAGGTAAATTAGATCTTCTGTGAAGCCTGAGCTGCCCCAGTTTCCCAAGGTTTTGGGGAGACTGGCCATAATATCATTTTCAAGAAGCTTCAATTTGAAATGAACACAAAAATTTATAATAACCATATGTTACTATTTATTGAGATCTTACTATAACCAGCTACTATTTGCTAAGTGCTTTCTGTACATACATACGTTATCATAACAACTCAGTGAGGTATATACATATTACCCCCATTTTATAGATGATAAAACTGAGGCACAGAGAATTTAACTTTCTCAGAGTCACAGGTTTAGTGAGTGGCCCAGGCTGATAAATATAACATTTAAATAGTATGTTTGATTTGTTAATTCCAACTCTGGGAATTTATAAGTACTCCGAAAATACTTTCCAGAGGCAAAATTAACTCAAGTTAGCTATTAGAACCCTCTGTCAAACGCTCATCTCTGGAAAGCATTAAATTCCATTGTAAGTGAAAAGAGTTGACTTGTCTATACTGTTTCTTACAGTTAACATCTGTCAGTCCTCCCAGAGCTTTCTCATTGTTCGGGAAAAAACTGAATTTCTTGATCTGCAAAGCGTAGAATCAGACTCTGGTCATATTCCTGACCCATCCAAGGTCAAGTTCTCCTGGCACAAACTGCTAAATACCCTCTAAGGCTGCTGCATCTTGGCTTCTCCCACTGCAACATTGGAGGCATTGCCTGGTAATTTAGAAAGTCCCCACTTTTCTTCCTTTAACACCCCTTAAAAATATATATAATCTCAGAGTAGATCCCACAGGTTATCAAATGAAATGGGCATTTAGAAAGTTCTAGGCACAGTGTTTTCTCTCTAAATCTGTCTCATCCACAACGGGAAAGAGAAGCCTTAAGCTGCCTCATTCAACATCTTTATCTGACAGAAGGCAAGCATGATTTTGAAATAAATGAGATCCATTTTCAATTTTGTTCCTTCTTTTATTCTTGGCCTAAAATGGAAATGAAGAATGAGGAATCACTACATAACCACTATATACTCTTCCTTATTATTGTTATTACCTCAGGATTATCTCAGCTCAGTACATTTAAAGTCCACATGTACCCCCTGTTTCATCAGAGAAGGCTATTCTTCTTTGCCCAACTATACAACTTGGAAGAGGCACAATGGAAGGGGTGGGGAACAGTGAGAGAAGCCAGGGATCTCTTCCTAGCCAGGCAGATATGACAATCTCTACCAGTCAATGGCTAATGACTAATACATTAAAACCCTTCTACAGTCCCACTGCTGTCTCCTCTTATATATACGATATAGCTAGCATATAGGTGCTTACAATATGTCAGACACTGTGAAAAATATTTTAACTGTTATATTTTTTATGCTGCCAGCAACCCTTTGAATTATGTACAGTAGTTACATGTAAGGTGGGAGAAGGTGGAGCTAAAGCATGAGTCCTGGCTTTCAATTCCAACTCTACTCTTAATTGGCTAGATGACTTCAGGCAAGTTACTTTATCCCTGAAAGACTCAGTTTTCTCATCTGTAAAATAATGATAAAATTCATAACTACATCATAATATTAAGATGAAAATTGAAATAAATAATACGTTTAAGTAAAGCATGGCAGGTAGTAAGGTCTCAATAAATTCTGGCCCTTATTATCTCTAATTTACAGTTGAGGAAGCTATGGCTCAAAATCATAGAACTAATTAATGAGTTCTGAACTCAAAATTTCAACCCACATCTGTCTGACTCCAAAATCCATTCTAACCTCTATGCTATTCTGCGTCCCTATAGGCTAAAGTGAAAGGCATGAGTCTCCTTATCAACAGTAATTTGTTTGATTTGATGTTGAGATTAGGATTGGATATACTTAAAATATTTTTGTTATTAACCAATATAGTTATTCTTAACATGATTTACATAACAGGAAATGTTTAGATAAAAGTGTTTTCTACACTAGGAAACTTTAAAAATATACCTTTCATTACAAAGTCTATATAATGACATTACAAAAAAATTTAAAAATAGAAAATGACAGAACTCTTCTATATCCTTACCGGCGTATCATACAGTAATTTTCATTTTTGCTCATTCATTTCCAGTGTTCGTCCGTCAGCAGATGAATTTTACCAGAGATGTAATCACGGTGTACATTCCGCTACGTTTCCTTGCGTGGATTGTTTTAGTGGCCCTTTCCCACTTTGCACGCTCTCATACAGTACGTGAGACATTTTCCGTGTCACAGACAAGGGAGGGGTGATTCTCCATGCAGCAGAGTTTCTGTGTTCCATTGGTCTTTTGGTCTAGCCCACCTATAGAGAACTCATGCCTGTAGAGAGGAAGAGTATGAACAGCAAGAAAAAGTGCAAAAGCTCTTTCGCTAAATTGCATAGAATATGGTGAGTGCAGACAACATTTGGGAGGGCTCAGGAACAGAGTAACACAGTTAGGGGAGAAGCATTCTTCTTCCCTCATTTCCCCACAGATCACTATAAGAAGCCTGCGTTGATGACTGTGCCCAGCTCCTGAGGAGTAGCAATTGGCAGGTGCACAATTCAGAAGGTCTCTGAAACAAACTTCTGTCCCAAGGTACCTAAATGGTGTTTTCCAAACTTGCCTGATGATAACCATCACCTGGTGTGATTGTTAAAATTACAGATTCCTGGGCTCCTCTCAGTTAGGGCAGGTGCCTGGGGGTCTGTAATTTTAGCATGGATGTAATTAGGATAATTAGCCACATTTGGGGAAACATTGTATTGAAATGTGACTGTTGAAATGGGTGAGGTCCATGTCGATTTAGAGGAAGAACACCCACCCACTGCTTTAAAGTGCTGCCCAGGAATGACCAGAGCATCCATTGGACTGAGCCTTGAGGCACCCATGCTTTTATATGATGTCTTAGTTATCTAGTGCTACTATAACAGAAATACCACAAGTGGGTGGCTTTAACAAACAGAAGTTTATTTTCTCATTGTTTAGGAGGCGAGAAGTCTGAATTCAGGGTGCTGGCTCTAGCGGAAGGCTTTCTCTCTCTCTGTCCGCTCTGGAGGACGGCGATCTTCATGTGGCTTAATATCTCTCTTTTTGCATCTCTGCTTGGTTGTACCTAACCTGCTCAGTTTATATCTCAAAAGAGATTGATTTAAGACACACCCTACACTAATACTGCCACATTAACATAACAAAGAAAACCCATTCCCAAGTGGGATTATAATCACAGGTATAAACCCACTGCCGTCAAGTTGATTCAGACTCTTAGCAACCTTATAGGACAGAGTAGAACTGCCCCATAGGGTTTTCAAAGCCTTAGATCTTTACAGAAGCAGACTGCCACATCTTTCTCCCACAGAGCAGCAGGTGGGTTTGAACCCCTGAACTTTCAGCCTTTTGGTTAGCAGCCGAGCATATAACCACTGCACCGCCAGAGCTCCAACCGTAGGAATACTTGTTGCTGTCAAGTCGATTACGACTCATATTGACCCAATATGACAGTGTAGAACTGCACCTTAGGGTTTCCAAGGAGCAGCTGGTGGATTTGAACTGGTGACCTTTTGGTTAGCAGCTGTAGCTCCTAACCACTATGCCACCAGGGCTCCATACTGTAGGTATAGGGGTTAGGATTTACAACACATAGTTTTGGGGACACAATTCAAAAACGTAACATATGGGGTTTAGAGTCAGATGTGACAAGGTTCACATATAGGCTCTAGCTCTTACCAGCAATGTGATTTGGGCAGGTTAACTGATCTTGCTAAGACAGTGTTTTCTTCTGTAAAATGTGAATAACAATATTATGGTTGCTGTAAAGATTAAATGTTATGGTTCGTGTTGTGCTTGGCACAAACCTAAGTGTTAACACACAGTAGCTATTAAACCACTAAGTGCTCAGCACCTGACATATGGTTAAACACTCAGTGATTGGGAGAAGTCACTTCATTATCAGCATTATTCCTGAAGCTCAGTTTTGTTCGATCAGCTGCTAACCAAAAGTTGGTGGTTCAAACCCACACAGTGGAACTCACTCAGCAAGAGGAAAGAACTGTAGATCTGTTCCCATAAAGATTACAACCTAGGAAACCCTAGAGGCAGCTCTATTCTGTCATATAGGGTCACTCTGAATCAACTAGACGCAACAACACAAAGTGCTTAGCATAGCATTTGGCTCAGTATTAAGTCCTCAGTTAATGCTGGCTGTTGAGGCTTCTCACCCAAACCCTGCCAGAATTTTCTCACTGGACACTTTTCATATATGGTTTTTTAAAATGCTGCATCTCCTGGGTAATTTGTAACTTGTAATACTCTTACACAATCAGAAAATTACTCACTCTATTTGCCATATTTTGGCAAAGTCCTGAAGTGATCATGCTGGCCGTATTGGAGCCAGATTCATAATGATAAACAGGAAACAGCTTTTTTTGTCCTTGAGGCCGGAAAGCGGGAGCATTCTAGTTTCACTTCCTGAGAATTCAAAACCTAAAAAAGGCGGGAAAATTCTAGTTTCATTTTCGGAGACACCAAATGTGGCATTCCTGCCGGGATTGTTTTTCTGCAGCAGGCTCAGATTTCAAAGCCATTCCTTCCCTCTGAAGGTTACCTGGGCCCACAGTCAAGCTGAAGTCCCCTGAACAGGTCAGGACTCCAGGAGTTTTCTCTTCTTTTCAACATTCCAACTCCGAGCAGTCTTACAATTCCCAAGGTAAGTGCAGACTGCCAGAGAGAGCCAAGCCATGCCTAAGGAATAGAAAGGTTGATCTCAAAAAGAGACCATAAAACTCGTTGTAGGGGAAAAACATCATAAAGTCTAGTAAAGCAAAAAGAAAGTTTTATTCGGCATATATTCAAAAAGGCGGAAGTGGTAAAAGGACAACCATGCTGCCACAGCCATGTCTGTCCCAGTCCAAGGAAATATCACAGAACAGACAAAAGTGGGAAAACGGACAAGGATATTGCTAGAGCCATGTCTGCCCAAGTCTAAATAATATTACAGAATAGGTAAGAATGGGAAAACGGAAAGCATGCTGCCGCAGCCGCGTCTGCCCGAGTCCAAAGAACAGTTATGGCGGCATCGGTATATATTAACATTACAAATGGGCAAAACCATTGAAAGCTTAGCCTTTTCAGATTGGCTGGAAACTGTGATCCTACATTTTGAATTGTCTTTCTTAACAATCATCGGTACAGGTTTCAGTGACTACAGGTTTCAGTAACGGAGAGTCAGGAGGGTCTTCATTGGTCCAACAAATTTCTATTCACTAAATGCTAATAGAAAAAGATAAGAGTGGAAAGTCTTTTGTCTTGTGTTTGATCTGCTTTATGTGAAAGTTTCCCTAAAAGATATTTTCCAGGATTATCTTAGCTATTGTCTTTATACCTCAGGGCCCAGTTGATGTGTCCTTGTGAGTCATTGTGAGCCCAGCTCCACCTGGGTCCCATTCTCTATGCTCAAGGATAAGGAATAATGACTCCAGTATTATTTCCTAAATCAAACTCCAAGATGAAAATCCACCCTAGGCTACAGGCTTTTGCAGATGTATCTCCTCCAGTCAAGAGAAGCTGAGGCTGACAACTAGGTCCACACTTTTCTTAAATGAGTTAAGTAAACAGTGAGGAGAACCAGCCTTCGATGGAACTCACCTTCTAGCTGAAGCCAGGTATACAGGATTCCAGAGCAACCTGGCCAAGGTCTGAGGCAGAGGGTGGTCGTGTAGAGCGTTACAGGGTAAACTGATCAGAGTTCTAAGGAACAAATTTTCAGACAGTACAGGGAGGAGCTAGAGCCTTGGCGAGAAGGCTTTGTCAGTTAACCGATTGGTTGACGTTCGTGTTTTTCTTGTGTTATTGTTTTTTTATAATGTATACACTGTTTAAGGAGCCCTGGTGGCACAGTAAGTAAAACACTCGGCTGCCAACCAAAAAGGTCAGCAGATCCGTGAAAGATGTAGCAATCTGCTTATAAAGACGTACAGCCTTGGAAACCCTGTTGGGCAGTTCTACTCTGTCCTATAGGGTCACTATGAGTCAGAATTGACCAGACAGCAGTGGGTTTGGTTTTTTTTTGGTTATACATTGTTTTGTTTTTTAGAAGAAAATGAAAATACTTTACTGGGAAGCTATGACCTAGTCGGATTTTCTAGGTTAATTTTGCAAGTAGGTCAGAAAATACACTTGGTTATTTTGTTTACTAACATTAATTAAAGCAGTTAACTTGTGAGGGCATTGGAAAGTGAACCTACTCACCTTTAACAAGTTGCTTCCTGAAATCCTTTTGGAGTCGGGGCACAAATGAATACTAAACAAATGCAACGCATGCGTATATTCTGGATCTTTTTTCTAAACAGCAATTGGCGAGCTCATTTCAATAATAGAAATGTTACTGGGTGGAAACCCCAGGCTCTTGCTCGGCATGACTCGTATTGGACAATAAATGAGAAACCAAGTTGGGAGAACACGAAAGGCACTTTTATTTCATTGTACAAAGGGAAGGAGTCCGTCAGAGCTGCCGCCGCCAACACTGCTCCCCAAGGGCGGGCAGACAAGTTACTTTTAAGAGGTTTAAGAGTAGGGAGTTCATACAAGTTACATCATCAACATTCTTAATCATACTATGCGGGCACAATGGGGTTTACGTATAACCTCCGAGCAAAAGCAGGATTCATATATAAAGCTAGGGGGGAGGAAGCCCAGCAAAGGAAACAGGATTTTTAATGCAAGACTGTGAGAGCTTTGTCTCATTATTTTTTTTTAAATTACTTTAGCCATAAATGTAAGGTGATTTTTTTAAAGACCCAAATTAAATGAATGATTTCAGTATGTGTGTGAGCAACAAACCATTGGAGACCATAATTGCAGTACTGAAGTAGGGGAAAAGAAGTAAGTCAGAGGAGGTATTCTAATACTTGAGCAGGTCTGAACTTCCTTGGCTTGAGTCTTCCTCTGAAATGCAGGAAAGCGTGTTGTTCGGGGTGGCAAAAAGATTTGGTCTGAGGACGGCGGTCTCTTGGTCCTGTGGACTGTTTTTCTCAGAGCCCTGGGGCTGTTAACTCTACTCCCCTGTCACATACTTCCCCTTTCGCCCACACGCAGAGGCTCTGTTCCCTTTACCGAGACCCTCCTTATACCATCACTCCCTCCCGACTCTGCTTCTCCACTTCCAAACCGACACACACGCAAATGCGCGCGCAGCTCTCGCCCTTTCTCGCTCGCGCTCTCCCCGTACACAGGCACTTAGACGCACACTCAAACACACTTCTGCTCTGTTCCCCGCACCCCAGACCGCGCTGCCGCTCTCAGGCCGGAGGCTCGCTGGGCAGTCCACGGCCCTAGCGTCGCTGTCGTCGGACGCCACGAGTGAAGCTGCTCGGTGCGTGGCGGGGGACGCGCCTGGCGCTCGGGGGGGATCCCGCGAAGGGCGGGGGTGGTTCG